TGAGGTATTAGCGCGGACCAGTGGGTATAAGAATTGTCCTCGTACAACATGCTCCTCGAGAAATCGAACAAAGCGCTCTGTATTCACGGAACCGTCAATCACGTCGTGCGCAATAATTCCATCGAGGGTGAGCACCGGAAGGATTGAGTATCGCTTCCCCCTGACAAATGGCCGGCGTTGAACACACCGCTTGCCAATGAGGGCCCAACCCTTGGATCGGCCTGTCGTGCGATCGTTCTTCGCCGCCTCATCAATGAACATCAGCATGTTGGCGTCCGTTACAACGTCCGCAATGAGGTTCATGTATCCGGACCGCTGCATGTCGTTACGTTCCAAGGCACGCACGGACACACATTTACGGGATAAATGCAGGCGCCGAAGCGTTCGGAATAGTGTGGGAAGGGAAATGTCGACGTCGCGTTGAGTCAACAGCTTCTCCTGAATTTCGTCGAGGTAGATGGTGTGTGTCTGCTCCAGTAGAGCTTCGATGAATTTGACGTCGACTGGGGTGAGGAGATGTCGGCGGCCAGATCGACGACTATGTGGATTGTGCGCGACTCCGTGAAGTGCGTGGTTGTCAAGGCATGTGTATACACAGGTCTTTTTAATGCCAAGAATAGAGCATATCTCTATTACAGATTTGTTCTGTTCAAAGAAGAGGACGGGCACGCGAGCCTTCAGGTCGTTAGAGATGGTTCGATGCATAGGGAGGAGTTTCGGGGTCCCGGACAAAGCAAGCCAAACAAGGCCAGAAAAATTTCCATTTTCCGTATACATATGAAAAGCGCTGTAATTGTATTTTACGGGAGGAAGCTCTCGCCACGGTCGATCAACAAACCGGTGGATACCAATCAGAAGGGATGAGCACTCACTTGAACTTGAAAGCCACCAGATCTATTCAACCGGCTCCGGGGTATTTACAGTCCTCGTTGAAAACGGTGGTCACCCCCGAGACTTGGGCTACCTACGTGGAACTGGGCAGCGGGGGTTCGACTCCCCTCGAGGACACTGAGTGGTGTAAGAGTTTGAACTTTTTTTCGTGTCTCGCTGATCCTACCAGATTAGTATTAGCTTGTTGCATTGTACGGAGCTCTCGCCACCGTCGATCAAAAAAATCGCTCGCTGCTCTTACCCTGATTCCATGAGCTTGGTTGCTTTCACGGACAATTGATTTATGGAGCTCACCGCTAATACAGTCGGATGACAATCTAAGGGAGGTTGAGTTAGTTTAGCTTGAAGTTGAATTTAAGCAGACGGGTTTATTCAACCAATTTGGAGGTACTTTCAGCCCTCGTCGATCATGGTGGTCACCCACGAGACTTTGTTTGTAACCCGAGCTCCTACTAAGTGAGCCCCGGGGGTTCAACTCCTCCCGAGGGCACTGAACGTACATACATCAGGAAGGTTTTTTTTGTTTCCCTTTCTGCATCGCTCGTTAAACTCGGAAAGACGCTGAACTGAACTTCAAATTAATCGTACGTTTATTTAGCCATGGTTCAAGGTTTAACAAGCCCTCGTCAATCACGGTGATCACCCACGAGAGTTGGATGGCCATCTCGCTGATTTGGTGGGTTCGACTCCCCCCGAGGGCACTAGCAAGTTTGCGGCAATTTTTTCTTCACTGGTATCTGACATACGTATGCTTCGCTTGGTTGCATTGACATTTTACGGGGCTCTTTGATCAATGGACCTCACAAATAATTTGGCCAGGCTGGACACAGCCGAATTGGAAGTTGTAAGCAGGCAGGTTTATCCAACCAACTTCGAGGTATAGAAAGTCCTCGTTGATCATGGCGATCGCCCACCCGAGCTTCTTCAAGCAAGTTTTAATGGGGAGCGGGGGTTCGACTCCCTCCGGGGGCCTTAATGTTGCGAATGTTCCTTTTTGCCTGGCTTGCTGGGACTCACCCAGATTCGCATTAAGTAGCTTGGTTGCATTTTAGGCGGAGGATTGATGGACCTCACCTACTCATTCAATCGCCGGGGGAGGGATGGGCACTGACTTGGGAAGTCAGAAGCAGATTGCTTTATTCCGCTACGTTCAAGGGATAACAAGCCCTCGTTGATCATGGTGATCCCCATCACAGATTTTGAATTCATAGACGACCTGTGGAAGTGGGCAGCGGGGGTTCGACTCCCCCCGAGGGCACTAAGACTTGAGTGTTGGGCTTTTTCGTCTTCTTTGCCTCGCTCGCTGATCTTCGAGGCTCACTGGGAACTTGTATAGCTAGGGATTAAGCGGATTTATCCGACCAACTTCAGGGCCTAACAAGCCCTCGTTGACCGCGGCGATCGCTCACGAGAGTTGGGCGTACACAGCGATAGGGAAGTGGGCACTGGGGGGTTCGACTCCGCCCGAGGGCACTTACTGTAGTGCGGAGAGCTTTCCCTTTTTGCCTCGCTGAACTTACAGGACCCTGATCCGTCCACCCGGAGGCTCTCGAAGAACAGCTCCAAAGGGAGATTGGTTGAGTTGGTTGAGTTTGAAGTCGGATAAAAGCAGACGGGTTAATTCAGCCAACTTCGAGTGATAGCAAGCCCTCGTCGATCACGGTGATCCCCCACGAGGTTACTGCTAAGACCTCGATGTGGAAGTGGGCAGCGGGGGTTCGTTCCCTCCGAGGGCGCTAATCTTTGCGCAGAACTTTTTTTTTGTTTGCCTCGCTCTCTGATCTTACCCGAAGGAGACGGGTTTATTTAGCTACATTCCACGTACCTCCAGCCCTCGTCGATCATGGTAATCACCCACGAAAGAAAAAACTGCTAAAACCCGATGTGGAAGTGGGCGTTGGGGGTTCGATTCCCTCCGAGGGCATTGGCCAGTTTGCGGCGATTTTTTTCTTCACTGGTTGATCTGACACAGAGTCATACGTATGCTGCGCTTGGTTGCATTGCCATTTTACGGGGGATTGTTGATCAACAGAGCGCGCCTACTCATTCAATCGCCGGCGGAGAGGCGGGACGCCGAGTTGGACTTACAGCTTGAGAGCAGGCGCATTTATTTACCTACCTTCGAGGTACCTTCCGCCCTCGTTGATCACGGTGATCACCCACGAGAGTTGGAACCCGACTAGTGTATCAAGAGTGGGTAGCAAGGGTTCGATTCCCTCCGAGGGCGCTAATCTTTGCGCAAAGTTTTTTTTTTTTTGCCTCACTCGCTGATCTGACCCCGAAGGCGACGGGTTTATTTAGCTACGTTCCACGTACCTTCAGCCCTCGTTGACCACGGTGGTCGCCCACGAGACTTGATTTGGCTTCTGTTCTATCAAGTGGGCAGCCGGGGGTTCGACTCCCCCTAGGGCATAAATCCATCAACTCGATTCCTTTTTTGCTTTTTGTTTTCTCAGCCAAAGACAGCATAGCACAGCGCCCCGCGCGCATGCATTAGTACATCCGCCGTTGGAATTGTAACCGACAGCTGGGGAGGGCGTAGCCACACCCACCCTAACAATATAACATGCTAATAAAACCCGCCCGTCTTCCCCGTCCCAAACCGCTCGCCCAGCCCCTTCGCCTCGGCGATCATCTTGTTCCGCTTCGAGTCATCCATGAGGCGCCCCGAGAGCGCCATATCGCGGTCGCGCTCCCAGATTTTGCTCTTTCCGTCGTCTTCGGCGTCTTTTTCGCCGGGTTTGGTCTGCGCGGCGCGGATGTTAATAAGTGGAGGAAGTGGGGAGGAAGGGGAGGAACGCAGGAAGGCAAGAAGCAACTCACCTTGGCGTGCATATCGACCAACGCCGCGCCCCTTGTCCGCGCCGTGTGCGCCTCGACGCCCGCGCGCAGCTCCGCGTCCACGCGCGCGCGCTTCCGTGCCTCCAATCCCTCCTTCGAATTCGTGTCATCGGCCTGTGTGCGCGTTAGCGTCATGCACATTATTATTCTCTCTTCAGCGCCATTCGCATCCGCTCGTCAGCGTCATTCGCATCGAGAGTGGGTACGTATCGCGGGAGGAGTGGGGACGTATCGAGGGAGGAATAGGCTCACCTCGGGCGCGTTCGCCGCGCGCCGTTTCCGGCCGGAGACCTCGTCCGCGAGGCGCTGCGCGCGTTCGGCGGGGGTCTCCGTCCACAGGGACGGCTCGGAGGAGGAGGAGGAGCGGGCGGGGGCGGCGGTGCGCGCGAAGGTGCGCGCGCGGAGTTTTGTTGGGTCGAGGTCTGCGTGCGTATGTTAGTCTCAACAGCTTAAGGAGGGAAGAGAGAAGGGACGCACTACCAAGCACGGACGACGTGGGCGGGACGAGCATCCACTCGTCGCGCTTCGCCGCCTTGGGCTTCGCCGCCTCCTCGACCTCCTTCCTCCGCTTCTCCTCCTTCGCGATGAACTCCGCCACCGCATCGCGCTCCGGCAGCGCGCCGAGTCCCGCGGGGAGCGGGCGCGGGCCGACGTCGTCGTCGTCCGAGTCTGCGTCGTACCGCGCGCGCGTGTGTGTTTGCGAGGGCGGGAAGCCGGGCGGCATCGTGGGCCCCGCGACGGGCTTCCGCGGCGCCGAAGGATTGGATGAGGAGGGGAGCATGTCGGGCGGCAGCGCCGGCGCGTAGTCGTCCTCATTATCGTCCTCCTCTTCGTCAGCGGCGGCGGTGGCAGGCGGGAGCTGCGGCCCGGCGACGCTCGGGCCCTCCTCTTCGTCGTCGTCGTCGGGGTCGTCGCGGAGGAGGTGCGGCGGGAGCGCGGGGCCGATGGCGGACATGAATGGGTGTGGGGGAGGAGGAGAGGGTTGGTCGTGTTTGGCTGGAGCGTTGGATCATGCCGGCAGGCGGCATGGGCGTTACGTTGAACCAACGCAAACCGGGGTGCGATTTATCTACATGGCCCTGGGCAGCGTTCTAGTTGTCACAGGACCATATTTATGAGCTGTTTACTGTTGGAAGGAACGAGATGAAGCGTTTGACAGTAGACAGGGCAAGTGCATTTTTAACGGGTTTTTGGAGACTTGGGATTCCTCGTTGCGCTCATTCTTGAAATCGGAGGTATTACATATCACAGCTAGACAAGCCGGTCAAGGCCTGGTGGTGTAGTGGTTAGCGCGTTTGCTTTACATATTGACCCCATCCTTGTCTTTAGCAGAAGTTCCTCGTTCGATTCGAGGTCAGGCCATGACCCATTCGTGAATTGCTTTTTTCTTTCTTTTAACTTTACGATCGATCAGACTCACACTCAGCATTAAATTTCAATCGATAAACCCATTCCTCTCCTGTAGTTGGCGTTGCATACAAATCGCACATTTTGACATCGCATTTTTCAGCTCGAAGTTTATTTCTGTTCCTCGTTGCCAGTGTGCTGATTCCTGCGCATAATATGATATGATAGGTAAGAAAGGGAGGGAGAGGCCTGATAGTGTAGTGGGTAACACGTCTGCTTTACATAAGATTCTGATGCCATTTCAGCAGAAGTCCCTCGTTCGATTCGGGGTCAGGCCGTAGCCCAGTGCTGCCTTTTTTTCTTTGCACTACGATCGATCACACTTATCATTAAATCTCAATTTGATGAAACTCGATTCCTCTCGTGCCGATGGCGCTGCATACAAATTGTACATTGCAGCATGAATTTTTCAGCTTTAAGTTTTTTTTTAGGTTCCTCGTTGGCAGTGCGGCACTGATTCCTGCTTGTCATATCATATCACAGCTAAGCAGAAGAGGAAAGAAAGAAAGGCCTGGTGGTGTAGTGGTTAACACGTCTGCTTTACATAATGAGATTCTTGATGTTTAGCAGGAGGCTCTCGTTCGATCCGAAGCCAGGCCATCCACTTGTCGTGTTGATCTTTTTTCCTTTCTCTTCAAGCTCTGCTCTTCACATAATTATTATTACTCTACTGTTAAAAAATCATCAGGACCGTTGGGCAATCAAATGCATAGCCTGATGCCTGAGACGCCTGGGCCTGCCCTCTGGGGGTTCGAGACACGGCTTCGCGGGGTCAGAACCAGTGGGGTTCAAAGTCCTCAATGACAACCCGAATAGCGTTGAATGTCCTCGTGCATGCGGCTGGACTCGCGTAGAAGTTTTTCGCCACCCAGAATCGACGTTGACCATCAGGGAGTTCGCCGGGTCGGGAATGACTATGAACGGGTCGGGAATAAATATGTCATACACGCGATACGCATGCGGCTCCGCACGGGAACTGAGCCAGAGAAAAGACTGACAAAGCGACGTGTAGGACGCATCGGGGCAAAAAGCAACGTACCTGCAAGCGTACCGCAGGCGGCGCATATGGCTCGGTAGGAAAGGGCGTCCATCACATGGCTCGCGGATCACCGGCATCGACGACGCGCCCTGAGACGTCAACTGCGATTTGATTTTCAACCCAGTTTCGTCTGTCGCGTGTCTTGTTAAAGATGTACGCACAGAACATTCGTTTCATGTTGTACTGTGTAAAATAAGGTCGCGCCTAGTTAGGCTGGCAAGCGGCACGGGCGTTGAACAAACGCAAACCGGGGTGCGATTTATCGAGCCACTGGGCCGTTCTATCTATTTGAATAACAGCAGTATAGTATACCTGCGGATGGTAAGTTCCAGAGATGGCGCATCTGATGGACATTTTCACATTGCATTTTTGTTTTTTCTAGTTCCTCGCGCTGATTCCTGAAATCCGACCTAACTATTTCAAATCTGAGCTGAGTGAAGGAGGAAAGGTCCGGTGGTGTAGTGGTAACCACACCTGCTTTATTTATGGGAATAAAGAGATGCTTCAGGAGGAGTCTCTCGTTCGATTCGAGGCCAGGCCGTAACCCATTCGTAGTGTTACTTTTTTTCTTTTTTTTTTTCTTTTTTTTCTTTTTTTTTCTTTTTTTTCTCTCTTTTCTGCGACGAGATTCATCATTACTGTAAATTTGAATTGATAAACTGAATTCTCTGGTGCAGGTAGGAATTGCACACTTCGACATCATATTTTTCAACTTGTTTGTCTGGGTTCCTCGTTGCCAATGCCCGGATTCTTGAGAATCATATCGTAGGTAAGCGGAGGAGGCGAGGAAAAGGCCTGGTGGTGTGGTGGTTTACACGTCTGCTTTATATGGAGAAGAATCCAGTGATGTTTAGCAGGAGTTCTTCGTTCAATTCGAGGCCGGGCCATCATCAGTTCACCTCACTTCGGGTTGATTCCTTTTACATGAATTTGCAACCAGGGCTTGTCATACATGATACTTACATACCTCGAGGTTGGCTAAATAACCCTGTCTGCTCCCAAGAACTCCGTCCGCCATCACGGCTACACTTGAGTGGTATTGCATGTGGGTGCATTCCGAGGACCTACTAGCCCCGACACGAGAACGAGACCAGCACACAAAAGAGCAAGAACATCCGATCCAAGTGCCCTCGGGGGAGTCGAACCCCCGCTGCCCACTGCACAACGATGCGCCTCGTAATATAGGGCTTTCTATGCCGCAAAGGTGGCTGGATAAATCTGACTACTTAAATTGGCTTGCGGCATCAGCAGGTAAGCTCCGTTAATTGACGAGAGGGTCCTCCTCTTTAAATGCAAGCAAGCTACGAGCCAGGAGATCAGCGAGCGAAGAAAGGATCAGATTCTTACAACACTCAGTGCCCTTGAACCTCCGCTGCTCACTTGCGCGGAGTTTGAGACATATGACTATCCAACTCTCGTGGGTGCACCATGATCGGCGGGGCTGGTTAGACTTTGAACGGAGCTGAAAAACCCGCTATACGAGTTGTAAAATGTGAGTAAAAAGTTAGAACACCCAAGCTAAACCAATTACTTAGTCTCCCGCAGTCAGACTCCACGAGATTATGACAGTCGATAAATCTTTTATATGGATAGCTCGACTTTGCTGAATAGAGCACTCTGCCGTCAAGTCCTGGATTCAGTGCCATCCCTTCCGACTGCATGAACACCGTCACCCCGGAAATAGTGATGTGTCGGTCGGGCTCGGGTCGGGCTCAATTTCTTGAACGACCCGCGACCCGGGCTTGGGCCGGCCGCCGCCCGGGCCTGACCGCATACCTATTGTGGTCGAATTTTGAGGCTAGGACCTTTAGAGCCCACTGCAACATCAATTAACCTCATTCAATTTCTCCCTTCACCTTCATTCACCTTCATTGTGGATTTGTAGGCCCAGGACGGGGACGGACCAATTTGATGGAGTGATGGCTGGAGGTTGAAAGTTCACAAGGCCGTATTTCGTTGTTCGCAGTCACTTGGCTGGTCTCCGAGGTGTGCAATCATTCAAATAAACCTTTATGTAATGTCGTTAAATACTTGTGTGCACTAAGAAAAATTGCAGTCAAGCCCGGGCGCGACCGGGCAGGCCGGGTCGGGCTCAGGATTTTCTTCAGGTTCCTGAATCTTCCTCACGAAATGCCCATAAATGCAAGCAAACAAGGTATGAATCTGGGTTGCAAGATGATTGCGCAAAAAAAATTGGGGTTACTCTGGAAGTGCCCTTGGGGGCCCGCTGCCCAGTTCGAAGGGTGTGAATAAACACTCCAATCGTCGGATCAACTCGGGCTAGTTTCGATGGTCCCATCAGATTTGTGACGCTCGTGACACCGCGTCAACAACCGCCTCCCGATTCCGCAGCACGACTCTCGCGCGCCCTCTCCTTCATACTTGTCGGTACCTCGCCTGCCTGCCCATATTCCCTCGATACTCTGACGGCGATCCTGATAGACACCGATGGATCCGATTCTTGCAACGCTCGCTCACAGTAACGAACCTCTCAGCGAGCAGCAAGCTCATCATGTCCGGCAGACTCTCGACAAAAATCTCACCTCACTCTCCTGGCTTGAGGAAGAGATCCCCAGGGTTTTTCTGTCTCTCTTGAAGCTAGAAAAGGAGCGGCGCATTCCGATTCGCAGCGAATACGGAACTCTCTCCTCGCCCTCCGAGCTGAAGGAAGAGATCACTAGGGTTTTGCCCTCTTGAAGCTCGAAAAGGAGCGGCACACTCGAAGCGAATACGTGGCTACTTTTAAGGGCGTGCTTTCTCCCATTCGCCGTATTCCATCTGAAATTCTTGTTGAAATCTTTTTTCTGTGTCGTAATGGCACATTCTTCAGTGCGGACCCACGGTGTGTGCCGACGCTTCTCGGTCACGTCTCATCCCGTTGGCGTCATGTCTCGCATCGCAGCCCGAGACTGTGGGATCATCTCCATTTCTCCCCGAACTCTGGTCGCGGGTATCCTCCAGAAGATCTTTTGTGTTCGATGTTCACCACTTCTTGTAGGACGAGGAAACCCGTTTCGCCCACCGGGCTTGCGAGCGAGGATGTCCTCGACCTGCTCTTCCAACAGCATCACGGATTAAAGGATGTTCATCTTGAACTCATTCCCGTCGATCTCGCTCTTTGCACTTCCAATAATCAATCCTTCCCGATCCTCTCCTCAATAATATCGCTCACCTCCTGACCTCATTCAACGACGCACCTCAACTGCGATCCGTATACAGTCGAACTCCTAATAACCCATAATCCTGATAACCCATAACTCCTTATACCCCATAGATTTTGGGTCATTACACGGTATGTTAGTAGTACACTGACTGTGAGGAACCCATAGGTCACGATACCCCATAGTACATACCCATATGTGAGTCGTAAAACCCATACCTATGCCCGTTTTTTGACTGCGGAAGGTCAATACAGATGTAGAAAGAGTCCCCAAATAGCCTTCATACACGTCTTCTGGGCAAATCTGCAGTTGAAATGCCAAGACAAGCCCTCTCGTTTGTCCAGAAGATCATAAAATCCTCTGCTTGCCTCTTGAATGAGAAGCCCAGCTGCGACGAACAAGGATCATGGCCGGACCAGGAAGACCAGAATGCATGGAAGCGAAGATATCCTGTTCAGGCAAACGGACAATAACCATTTGGACGAGCACGTTCGACCTAGATGTCATCGTGATGTACTTCGGCCACCATTTGCATGGCCGAAAACCTGAACATCCTCATAGTCCATAGATCCCGAAACCCCATAGCCTCAGGCTCTGACCAACAGCTATGGGTTATTAGGAGTTCGACTGTATCTCTATGCTCGTTACACACCAATGGATTCTCTAGGGTTTACGCCCGGGTGGTCCCAGTTAACGCGATTGAGATTATGCATTTGTATCGGCCTCCGTGATGCGCGGGATATTCTGATCCAATCCGAGATGATACAGGAATGTGAACTCATTGAAGTGATCGCGTGCGACAACTTCGCGCCATCCCAGAATGTGCATAGGCTCAACGATCTGCAGAACATCACCATTTTCATCGAGCATGATCTTCTTCCTGGACCATTCTTCGACGCGTTCTCATTCCCAAAGCTCGCTTATCTGAATATCATGGCGCATGATTGGTCCCCCCATATTTTGCCCAACCTATACGACCGGTCAAACTTCCGCCTGACACATCTCGAACTCAAGAGGATGGACAAGAGTGCAGAAGAACTCATTACGTTCCTCAGAAATCTTCCCGATCTCGAAATACTCCATCTGTCGCATTGTGGCGTCGAGGATGCACTCTTCAGGGCGTTCACATGTGACCCCGCCAATCCGCTTCCCCCCTTCGCACTTCGTCAGCTTCACTCGTTGAGGATCTACGGAACCAGCCATGCGCTGAATGGCGCTTGGGTCGCCTCTATGGCCGAATCTATGCCCAGGCACAGTGGGCATCAGAATGCTGCTTTCCCCGCACTGAGGACAGTGGAGATGTACCTGGAAGGCCCGAGATTCGACAACGAGGTCGAGGATCGCCTCGAATACGCATGCGATATTGGTTTCGTCAAAGATCGTTCCGAGCGCGAGCGAAGATCTCATATTCGGGTGTGTTCAAGCTCATGAATCTGTGTCAACCCTAGCTCATCATTGGCCAATAGAAGTAGACGCTGGGGGCAGAGTTTTTCTTGTTTTATTGAAATCTGTATGGAAATAATAAGTAAACCTTCACTGGCTGTCGATCGTGCTATGCACCAGATTCACATGGGCCGAGACTTGCTCTGGTTTGAATTATCCCCGGGCTCGCGAAGATGTGAAGAGGCTGGTGCTTTGGTAGGTTCTGAGCGCTTACAAACTCCTGAGCCATTTCAGCCCGGACCCGCAAACTGCATTTCCTCTATTTGAGTTGCTCGGAGGCATTCGAGTTGGCAGCGAGGGAGTTATTCATGCTCTCGACTATCCTGCTCACACTCTTGACATTGACAAACGCATCATATTATTTTTTGCTCCTCAACTGTCTGTAATTATTTCTGCTCCCGGTCCTCTCCACCGGGTTTGCCCTGCATCCCCGCGGCCGTGTGGGCCAGTGCGTCCGTGACCGTAATGGTAAGGTACAGAGCGTCGCCGCACGTTTGTTGGTGCTGCCCGGACTCCTTCGATGGAATCAATATCCCTCGAAGGACGTCCGAAGGGCGCCGCGATCGACGTGGTGAAGGGATACGACATGCGCGTCCCATCGCATAGTTTTGAACCCCCCGGATCGAGGAAGCTACGTCCTCTTCGGGAGCCTCTGCACCGTGCGCGCGCGCTGGATCTCAAGCCCCTGCGTGCCGAAGTAACGCTGGCTCTGTGGATGCAACCATCAGTATGTGGACGATGTGGGGAGGAAGGGACACGAACCTCGAAGCTCCAAGCATCATTGGCCCGGACCCAGTTCCCAAGCCCGTCCGCGTAGATCCGGACTTCGCGGTCAAGAGGGCCTCCAAACGTCGGGATGCTTTCCCAGAGCGCGAGGAACTCGTCCACAATCTCGTCGTGGAGGTCCGAAATCCAGTTCATGGCTTGCTGGAGGTTCATGTTGTACTGGTGCATCACGATTCTGACCAGATTGTGCCCATCGTCGCCTCGCGCTTGCCTGCGAACAGTCTCAGTAAGCTTGAACCAAGTAATGTCCAGAAGAGACTCACTCGACGTTCCATGAGCACAGGTCATTGCCGATAATCAGCACATCAATGCACAAGTTTGTCAACTTGACAAGGACGGGGTGCGTGATGACTTCGTCGGGGATGTTCATATGAAGCTCGCAGATCGCGAACGAGGGCTTGGCCCCGATCGTGTCCCGGCGGACTTCAAAGTAGCTCTTCACGTCGCGGATCCGGCTCGAGTTCCTGTCATCGGCCTCCTGAACCACAGCATCCATA